ATGTCTTGGCAGGCCGTGGTAAGGTCGGGGCTGCGCGAGCCACCTTTGCGAAGGATGAAGAAGACGCCCTGATTGTCCACCCGCACAAGAACATGTTTGTGCGTGATCTTGCTGGAGTATGTTTGGAGTGCCCAAAGCACACCTTCGATCTCCCTCCGTGTGCTGGACGTCGCTCGCAGCGGCTCTGGCATTGTTGCGCTAGCTTCTTCGAGGCCGCCAGGAAATGTGGTCAAAGTGGCGCCCCAACTGTGAGCGCTAGCATCCACATGGATGACAGCGTCGTAGCTGTTTCGAACGTGAAACGGTGCACCGTTGAACCTGTCAAACTCTTCGAGCCAGAAGTTTAGCTCCTCAGCCGCGTTTGGGGGGATGATCACGCTGCTTTTCCATGAAGGTGCGTCATTGATCACTTGTAGCATGGCGTGGCTGAAAGCACGAGCTGTTGCGCCCAGCGCGACGCCCATTGACGCGAGCATGCCTGTGATTCTGGCCACTTGGCGGACTGAGACGGGTCGACATGCCTTGCTTGCGCTCAACAGGTTCCGAATGGTTGCATGTAGTGAGGCTCGTCGTTCGGGACCGATGGTAAATCGGCCTGTGGCCGTGTCTAGCTCCACACCCAAGAATCGAAGGTGTTGCGATGGTGACAGCTGTGATTTCTTCGCATTTATCACCAAACCTGCTGCTTTAAGGTCCAGTATTACACGGTGGCAAGTAGCCTGCGCGTGAGCTTTTGACTGGCAAAGGAATAAGATGTCGTCCACGTATGGTACTACTCGGATGCCTTGCTCCCGCCAGCGACGGGCTAGCTGCTTGATGAGTTGCGTGAAGATGAATGGGGCTGTCGCAAGACCGAACGGCAATGAACGAAAGGCGTAAGTGCGCCCATCGAATCCAAAACCGAGAAACTTCCAGCATGAAGGATGGATATCGATGTGATGGTACCCGGATTTGAGATCAATAGAAAACATCCAATCCCCAGCGCGTGCCACGTCTGCCACACGGCTGAGTCCTTCGTACTTGAATTTTGGGACGATGAGGTTCGTGTTGACTTTTCTCAGGTCGAGGATGAGCCTGCATTTTTCTTTCTGCTCGACCACGTTAAGTGGGCTTATGCACGTAAGCTCGCTTGCGGCTGTCTCGACTGCAGCTCCGGTCTCTGTGAGTTCTTGGATGGCAGTACGTGTGAACGACGCATGCGCGTATGCACCAGCGTGGTTACGCTCCCGAAAGGCCTGTGGTGGGCCGTGGCTCCATGGAAGCCAGTAACCGTTGGCGATGATGGATAGGACGAGGCTGCAAGGGCACCATGAGCTCCACCACGCAAAGGTCGAGCGAAGCCGACCGCACATCCGTGTGACGGTTTTGTCCGTGACGGCGAATTCGTACGGGCCATCGTCGCGAGGCACCTCGTATTGTTGTGCTCCTGTATGTACGGCAAGGAAATGAACGCGAACAATCAGGTTGCACGCCTTAATTAGTTCATGCGTGTGACATATACATGCATGCGCGAAAAATGAACCGTCAACAGTGAGGACCATACGGACGGTTTGTCGTCATTCCATATAGGGCGTCCGATCGCACCTTGGCAAACTCTTTCTCATACTCTCTCCTTTTCCCTCCCCTCGTTTTTTTTTTTTTTTTTTTTTTTTTTTTCTGGAGGATTGATGCTTGGGACCATGATCATGCTTCCCTCGTGTGCTCTCTCTCTCTCTCTCTCTCTCTCTCTCTCTCTCTCTCTCTCTCTCTCTCTCTCTCTCTCTCGCTCTTTCTCTCTCCCTCTCTTTTTGGATGTGTTTCCATTGTTGTTTGAGCATTTGCATGCTTCGCTTGTCATGAGCTCGTGTCTTTTCGCGCGTGCCTTTACTTGGGCTAGGCGACATCGCTATGCCCTACTCCCCCCCCCTTGCTCCTTCTCACCCTTTTTGGGCTTCCAACGGTTGAACCAGGGCTGCTCATCCTTGCCATGCATGGTGGCGGTTTGAGTGAGGAGCGTACGTACTCTCTTTTTCTCCCTCTCCCCTTCTCCTCCTTTTTTTTTTTTTTTTTTAATCCGTGACAAACAAGAGGGGCCTTTAATAAAATCCCTATCTCTCATGGTCATACATTGTCATGCCTACTAGCATGTTTCTCATCCCATCAACTGGGGCATACGGGGGACCGAGAGGCATTCTTCCTCTTCCCCAAAGCTAGACCTACGGCCATACTTTATTACCCTATCCTAGGGGACCGAGAGGCATTCTTCCTCTTCCCCAAAGCTAGGCCTATGGCCAACTTCTACCACCCTATCCTAGGGCTGGCCATGGCCACCGCAAGCCCTACTAGGCTGCCCACGGTCTAAGCACTCAAAAGTGCACCGTGCATCGCGCCTAGAGGCGCGCTTCACCATAGCCCGAACCTTACACAACCGGTGCGGGTCCTTGGCCCCCATGCCCATTCCGAGGGCAGGCATTGGCGACGTGGCCTGGCTGTCCGCAGCGGAAACACGAACCACGAAAGCCTTGGAAGTTGCCCGAGGTTGGAGGGCCACGTTTTGGGGCGAACGCCTTGGCGCCGTGGTTTCCACCACGGTGGGAGCGAGCGTGAGCGCCCGCCGCTCGGTCCATGGCAGCCACGTCCGCGACGGCTTGCTTGAACGGCCGCGAGGTGAGAAGGCTTTTCTCCAGGTACATCTTGTAGCGCTTGGCAACGCGGTCGTCGGATGCGTCTTCGACTTGAAACATGTCGAAGCGCGCGGAAATGTCGTCGAGGGCGGCGACGACCATTTCGAGTCCGCCCGCCGAGTCGCCGTGCTGCAGCTTGTGCTCTGCGTGTTTCAGGTAGGCCCGCATGTCCTCCAGAATCTCCGCTTTCGCCCGCACGTGCTCGTCGTTGAACGTCGCCGCCGACCAAGTGGTGTTAGTAGTAGAGGGGAGGGGGGGAAGATGCTCCATGGAATGAAAATTTGCGGTATGGACCGGAGCCTCACCATCATCGTCGTCGGAGCCGTCGGTGTCGTTGTCGGCCGCTGGCGCAGGTGGGATGCTGGCTGGTGCTTCCTTGTTGTGCCGGTTCGCCGTTGTTCCTCGCGCTCCTTTTTCTTTTTTTGCGTTTTCCTTGTTAGCAGATGCAGACGCCGCGGGTTGTGCAATTTCCGTAGCTGTAACGCTGGCGGGTTGTTGCTGTAACAGGGACAGAAGCGCAGCGACCTGGTCCGGAGTCAACGCGTTGGTCAACGCCGGGGTCGTCGCGTCAGAAGAAGTCGATGTTCGGCGCCTCTGGCGCTGACGCGACGGTCCAGCCACAGGCGCCGGCGTGTGCTCCGCGTCAGGCGCGTGTGGCACCCCAGGTGCTGCAGGTGCCGCCGTCGCCACTTGCGCCACACGCGCCTCAGGCGCCACAGGCGCCACAGGCGCCACAGGGGCCGAGGGGTGCTGCTGCTGGGGCGGGCTCGAGTTTTTGTTGACCTCGAGCCCGCCCAACAGCACGTCCACGGCAGTTGGGGCGGGCGATCCTTCCTCTGCCCGCCGCTTGTTACGGCGATCGCCCGTCATTTCTCGGGCGTTACGGTCGGAGTCGGAAACCGGCGCAGACGAATTGACGCGGTTAAGTGCCGGCGTAGACGCCATTGTAGATCGATTGTGGTTGAAAATGTCTTGCAGAAGTGTTGAGGGTGACTCGCCTCTGGGAAGGGTGCGAGTTCTAGCCAGCTTGGACGGGGAAAAGAACTACTCGAACGGAAATGTTGATTGAGCCGTTGGAAAACGAGAAACGTGGGTGGAGGGAATGAACTCCAACCCACGGTTTTTGTAGTTGGAGAAGGGCGTTTAGCGCGCTTCGACGCTGCCAAATATTCGGTACAGTCAGCTTCGCTTTCACAATACACAATTTTGAAAAACATCGATGTGTTTAAAAATTATAATTATGCTGAATTTTCAGGGAAAACGAAAATCACAGCTACAAAATCAGCGTAATCAGCGTGTTTTACGCTGATATCTGAGGGCCTGACTGTTGTATTCGCCTTATTGAGGGCTTCAGTTTGGTATCTTTAAAAATAAAGTTCAATTGAGCCGTTACAAATGCGCTGGCGCTTATGGCCGTTACTCAATTATAAGCGCCTTAAAAAATGAATTTATTGTAAGCGCGTATGCGCTACTATCGGGGGCCAGACGGTATTGTTTGCCTCGATAGTGCAATTCTAGCTCGATCACTCAATTGCACTCTTTACATCACTACACATTCCCTGCCGAATTCCCGACTAAGTAGATAAACATACACCCACCCATTATCGCGTATGGGTCTTTCGCATTCTCCTAAGAACCGTCACGCTGTCACGCCCGTCAACCGTCACCACACCTCTCATTCCTCGCTGTGCCCGCCTCGCTGAATTCGTCGCAGACTCGAACCTAAGGCCAAGTCGTTCGCCGTCGTCCAGTCGAGTGAGTCTCACTCGCTGCGCGCCGATACACATTCCGTTGCCACGGCATTGCGCCAGCACCGCACGGCTCCCCCGACGGGTAATTCCCGCGGCTCGACTCCTCTGCGGTTGCAATCCCCAAGTGTCGTGACTCGCTGAGTTGCGTGTGCGTGTCGCTCCCATGTCGCATGTCTCCCGGACCCTCTCTCCCTCTCGCGTCGTCCCATCTCGCGCTTCTCGAATGGCGTGTTGCGAATCTCTCGTCGTCCATTCAGCAGCAGTGACCTCTCCTGCGCGAATCTCAGCCGTCGCCCCTCAAGGCCCCGTCGCACAACCCCACCCCCCGCCGCCTGCCCCTGGCCTCTTGCTGTGCGACCCTTGTTGCTGGCGAGCCGCTGTGTCAGTGGACGAGAGAGTGGGAATGGCCGGAGGCGGTGGAGGAGCGCGGCCGAGCCAACGCACACCGAGCCTTTCGGTGCCTCCTAGCTTTCGCCTTCTCATGAACCGCACTCATCGCACGGACGGGACTGCAGTGATTGCCGTCCAGCGCAACTGGACTGGACTGGATTTCGCCCCTTTTCCGCCGGGCGATTAATCGCCAAGTATGATGCCGCTGTCAGCGCATCCTCACCGCCTTCCGGAAATCACCCCCGCATCCCCCAGTAGTACTACCTCCGCGTCCGCCCCTCTCCCCTCCTCCGCCGCGCCCAACAGCGCGCCCAAGCTGCCCTCCGCCCTCCCCGCTTACCTCCGCGCTGGGCGCAGGGAGGGCGCAGGCGTGGGAAGAGGAGGCGCGCAGGCGGACGGGAGAGGGCTGGGGGATGAGGGGGGAGGAGCAGTGGGGGGACATGGAGGGGCAGGGGGAGGGGTGAGCGGGGATAGCAAGGAGAGCAGATGGGTGGAAGAGGATGATCAGGGAAACGAGGGGGGTAAGCGGATGGGACAAGGCATGGTGGTGGTGGACGTGGGGGCCGAAGGGGAGGCGCGTGGGGAGCACGAGGAGCAAGAAGAGTTTAGATACATACAGCGGACTTCCAACCAACCACACGGCGCCAGCTGGCTGTTTCATGACGTCATCACTGCCCTGCGATCCTCCGCCGTGTTCCAACTACCAGCACTCACCACCCCCAGCAGCAGCAGCAAAGAGCACGATCCCTCACTACCAGTCCCTCAGATACCACCTCCCCCAGGCGCCACCTGCGTGGGGGGGTGTGGCATCAGCAACCAGGCAGCTCTCGCCATCCTCCCCTGCGCGCTGCATTCCCTGCTGCACTGCGTGGCCGTGGGGCAGCTGCTGGCGCTGCTCACCCGCCATGCCTTGGCGCCCCGCCACGCCCTCCTCTCCACCGCCCTCGCTGAGGCCCTCTTCTCTCTGCTCTCCGCCCTGCCTGCCACCGCCCCCGCGCCCAGCCCCCTGGGAGCGGCGCTCATGGGCGCGCTGTGGCGGGTGAGTGGTGCACTGGGGGTGCCCTTCCTGCCCTGGGCGGGGTGGGTGGGGCTCTGGGCGGCTGTCTTCCTGCTGCTCGCCGCGGGGGGGAATGCGTGCCGGGTGGCGGACCAGTGGGGTGCTGCCATGTGGCGGGTGGAGGGTGTGGTGACGAGCGGAGTGCTGTTTGTAGGTGCGGTGCAGATGGGTGCGGAGGGTTTCAGGCAGGCAGCAGGGGAGGCGGTGGCAGGAGGGGAGGCGGTGGCGTTTGCGACGGTGTGTGTGGCGGCGGCGGGGGTCATCATTGCACTGTGGCTTAGCAGAGCTGCCACGTGGCATGTTCTGAGTGGCTACATCCGTGGTTCACTTGCCCACTATGCTCTCATACTGGCCTTCCTCGCCTCTGCAGGCATGTTCTCTCCCTCACTTACGTGTGCTCTCTCCATCACTCTCTGGTGCTCTCTCTCACTCGCTTCTACGTTTTTGCCTGAGATAGAAAGGGAGCATGCACGGTATGGGCCTGCGCTGGCCCATCTCGAGTTGCTCCCAAGCCTGCCCAACAGGTTCGGTCCGAGGCATACCCGGACCAGGGGACTCGCTGCTGAGGATAGAGCTGGCCCCTCCCAGCCTTGCCACTCTTTGTTTTATATCCCTGCTTCTTGCTGTTGCCTTGACGCATGGAGAGATGAATGTCTGTAAGGTTGGTTCCATGACAGACTAGTCTGAGACCTGGTGGGTGCAGGACATGGAGGGTATGGAGGGTATGGAGGGTATGAAAAGTAGGGAGGGAGGGCACGCGACTGCCTGCAGGGAGGCAGCACCACCAGCTTCTTGCCGAACTTGGCCGCCGAAGCTCCTGGCATGGCATGGAGCGCTCTCTGAGGGGATGTAGCCACAGCACTCTCTGAGGGGGTGTAGCCACAGCGCTCTCTGAGGGGGTGTAGCCACAGCGCTCTCTGAGGGGTTGTAGCCACAGCGCTCAAACCTGCCGGCCCAACCGGTGTGTTAGGAAGGTCGCCTTGGGGCGCACGTGCCTTGGAGCGCATGTGCCTTGGGGGCGCATGTGCCTTGGGGCGCATGTGCCTTGGGGCGCATGTGCCTTGGGGCGCATGTGCCTGGGGGCGCATGTGCCTTGGGGGCGCATGTGCCTTGGGGCGCATGTGCCTTGGGGGCGCATGTGCCTTGGGGGCGCATGTGCCTTGGGGGCGCATGTGCCTTGGGGCGCATGTGCCTTGGGGGCGCATGTGCCTTGGGGGCGCATGTGCCTTGTACGTCTCTATTCCCCTCTCACTCCTCTCTTTCCTCTCCTTTCCATCGCACACCCCTCCTCCCCCTCGTCTTTCCCCCAGTGCTCCTGGCGGTGCCCCCTTTCCTCCATCTCCCTCCGCTGCTCGCCTACCAGCTGCCACTGCAGGTCGCCCCGCCCCTCATCCCGCCCATCCCGTGGGGCGCGCACTTGGGGGGCGTGTCAGTGGGGGCGGCCCTGGCAGCGGCACTGCCGGGAGCGCTGCTGGCGGCGCTGCTCTTCCACGCGCACAACACAGCAGCGCTGCAGCACGAGGTGAGGAGCAGCGCTGCAGCACGAGGTGAGGAGCAGCGCTGCAGCATGAGGTGAGGAGCAGCGCTGCAGCATGAGGTGCGTGTTGTGCTGGTGCTGTTCTCTCCCTCGTCTGAGCGAAAGCATGCCAACGATGAACGCCCTCTTAAGTTGCCTTCATCACCTTCATCCCTCCTCTTTCCCCGTCCCTGCTTTTCCCATACACCACACTCTGTTTCCTCCTGCCATCACCCATTCCCTCCCTCCCATCCCCTCCTCCTTCCTTGACTCACGTATTCCTCCACTTCCCTCGTCCATGCCCCCTGTTACACTCTCAATTTCCACTCCCCTGCGTGAGTCGTGACCCCCTTCCTCCCAACCCCCCCCTCTTCCTCGCTACCGCCCGTTACCGCACCCCACACTCTCCAACACCTCAGGCACAGTTGCATGCTGCTGCGGGGTGTGGGCAGCGTGTGAGGGCAGAGCAGGCTTGGGGAGCAGACCGTGCGAGGAAGTGGAGGGGAGCAGGGGTGACGAGGTGGGGAGTGAAGGGTAGAGAGGCGGAGAGGGCAGGGGACGTGGAGTGGGGTATGGTCGTGGGGGAACTAGCAGGAGGCACAGGAGAAGGGCATCAGCAGGGTGGGGGAAGGGTTGAGGAGGTGGTGGGGGGAAATGATGGGTGGGAGTTTGGTGGAGGTGGAGGGGAGGACGAGGAGGATGAAGAGGGATGGAGAGTGGATGCAGGAGAGGGGGGTGCAGCAGGGACAGTGGGAATGGTAGTGAGCAGTGAGAGAGGGTGTGAGAGAGTGAGTGTGAGGGAGTGGGACCTGTGTGTGACTGCCGTTGTGGTGGCTCTCTGTCTCCTGCTCGGCCTCCCTCCTGCCATCCGCATTCCATATCTGGTAACTATTGCCTGTGCACCCTTCCATATCCATACGCCCCATTTGTGTGCCACATCCTGCCACCGCCCACTTTGAGTTTTTTCTGCCTTTCTTCTCTACGAGACTCGCCCCTGTTCTTCCGGATTCTCCAAAACGGTTCCACTGCACGGCCAGCCACCAATGGCACATGGGTGCACTCACACAATTCACACCAGCACTCATCCACTCCCATCTTGCTGCCCCCCCCTTCCCCTTTCCCCCCCTTCGTGTGCCCTCCTTCCCCGCCAGAGCACCATCCGCCTCTCATACCTGCTCAAGCATGCACCCGCCACTGCACCTGCCACACGTGCCACAGTCACAACTGCCACTCAACGCTGCAGTGCGGCCCCTCATGTAGCCCGGCCACACAAGCAGTCGTCCCGCCATGCCAGCACCACAGTGAGATCCGGATTCGACTCCATGCTGCTGCCGCTCATGCCACTCGTGCCGCTCGCAGCTGGCAGCCAGGCGAACTCCTTTGTGCCAGCCACTCGTGCTCCCCACGCCCCACGCCACCCCCCTGCCCCCCTGGCGGCGCTGGTGTGTGAGTGGCGCACCGTGGGGGGGCTGCTGGCGGCTCTGCTGGCGCTGCTCGCCCTGCCTGCCACGCCTGCTCGCTTCCTCACCCTCGTGCCCGTCGCACCCCTCATCGGCACGTGCATGGCGGTGAGTGCTTTAGGTGTTTTACATGGAATGAAGCATTCGGCCACTCTCGTGCATGGCTGTGAATGACGCTCTTGCACTAGCATTGCAGTAACTGGTGATTATTCATAAGAAATGAAAGGTGTAGTCACATGAAAGGGGGTGTGATTCGTCCTTCGTTGTGGGTATGACTACTACGGTGCAGTGGCCCCCCTCTTGAACAACCGTCTCCTTTGCATGCAGAGTGGCATACAGAGAGCATGTTGTCCCTGCAGAGGGGTTCCTTACGTACCCGCAGAAGTCAGCGGGCAGCTTGGCCCCTGTCTGTGGGCCTTCAGTGATCAGCGATCCACATCCGCATGTGCATGCTTCCCATCCCATATCCACCCTCCCGTGCTTATAGTCGCGCCATGTGTTTCCTTGTGCTGTAATACACATTCCTTCTCCTTCCCTCGCTCTGCCTCTCCCACCCACCTCTTGCCCCCCTGGCAGTTGGCCATCCTCCTCTTCCCCCCTTCACTCCACCTCCACCTCCTCCTCTCTCTCGCCCACCCCTCCCGTCGCCCTTCACTCCCCCCACTCCCCCCGTCCGCCCTCCCTTTCCTCCGCCGCCTCACCTCGCTCGAGTGCCTCTCAGCCGGCCTGCTGCTCGGGTGGTCATACCTCCCCTTCCTCGCCGCCTCCTTCCCTCTCCCCCTCCTCCTCCTCGCCCTCCTCATGACCCCCCTCCTGCGCCGCCTCCTCCCTCCGCCCCTCTGCGCCCGCCTCGCGCCTCCGCTGCTTCCCTGTGCCGTTGCTCTCCACGCCCGCACCGGCAGCAGCAGCAGCGGCAGCATTGGTACCCCAAGCATTATCCTCACCAGCAGCGGCAGCAGTAGCAGCGTCAGCAGTAGCAGTAGCAGCGGCAGTAAAGGCAGAAGCAATAGAGGCACCGACTGTCTGGCAGCACCGTTTACTTTACCTGGGAACAATGAAGGTGGGGATAACAGGACTGCAGGTGGCACAGGGAGGAGGGCGAGGTGCAAGGCAGGTAGAGCAGAGGAGCACATGAGCAGTGGGGGAGAGAGTCGGAGAGGCAACAGAGTTGTGGAGGAGGGGAGTGAGACGGAGGGAGGGAGTGGGGTGGGTGGTGATGGGGAAGAGGGGAGAAGGGGTGTGAAACGGCGAGCAGTGGGGGAAAAGTACGAGTGTGAGGTGGGGGGCGGGCGAGATGGGCACATGCCAGCAGATGGGCGTGTGGATGGGTCTGGGTCTGGGTCTGGGCATGGGCATGGGCGTGGACATCAGAACGTGGAGGTGCATGTGGGTATGATGTCAGGGCTGACATCAGCATGGCATGACACCTCATTGGACGACCCATCCTCTCCTCTGCACCACTCCGCACCTCCTGTGCACCACTCCGCACCTCCTGTGCACCACTCCGCACCTTCTCTGCACCACTCTGCACGTCCTGCTCGTGGTCAGCAAGGTAATGGTGGACTGGCAGATGGCCGGACGATTCCCCAAGTGCTCGTGCAAGGGTTGGCACAGGAAAAAAATGAGGACGGAGAGCAGGAGGGAGGGGAGGAAGGGGAACATGAGGGAGGGAAGGAGGAAGGGGGGGAAGCTGAGGGGAGAGAGGAAGAGAAAGCCGCGGAAGAGAAGGGAGACTTGATGGGGCAGGGAAGGTCAACTCCAGGTGCCCTTGCGGCTGTGCTGTCCTCCCCTCTTGCGTCCATGGCCCTGCCATCCATCCCCCATGTGGCGTCTTCCCCCCTTGTGACGCTGCACAGCAACGCTCTCTTCTCCCCCGCCACCATCATCGCCACTCTTGCTGGCAGCTCCACAGGAAGGAGCCGAGAGAGAGGAAGAGGGAGAGGCGGATGGAGAGGGAGAGGGATAGGCGAAGAGAATGAGAGAAGGGGGACGAGGGTGAGGAGTATGGGAATTGGGGCAGGGAAGGGAAGCAGGGGTGCGGGGGCTGAAGCAAATGGGAATAGTGGTGCTGGTGGTCATGTGACTAAGGCACGAAAGGGTGAGGGTGGTCGTGGTATGGGGAGATGGAGTGAGGGATTGGAGAGTGAGGGAACAGTGACAGCGGTGGACGTTGCAGCTCAGTTCAGAGGGATGCTGAGGAGCAGTGTGGATATTGAGTGCATGATGGCTAGTGAGGCGAGTGGAGAGGCGAGTGGAGAGGCGAGTGGAGAGGCGGAGGAGGAGGAGGAGGAGGAGGAGGAGGAGGAGGAGGAGGAGGAGGAGGAGGAGGAGGAGGAGGAGGAGGAGGAGGAGGAGGAGGAGGAGGAGGAGGAGGAGGAGGAGGAGGAGGAGGAGAAGGAGGAGGAGGAGGAGGAGGAGGAATGGACGGAGGGAAACGAGGGGGAGGGGGGTAGTGTCGACTGGACAGAAACAGGTATGAGTGGTGGAGGAGAGGGGGAGGGGAAGAAGGGTAGACCGGGAGAGGATGGAGGGGTGGAGGGCGAGGGTGTGGGCAGGAGAGACGGTGAGGAGGCAGACGTGAATGGAGCAGAGGTAGCAGCAGGTGCAGGTGTAGGTGCAGGGGGCGTGGGGGGAATGGAGGCAGTGGATGAAGAGGGGAATGAGGAGGGGAGTGAGGAGGGGAGTGAGGAAGGAGGGATGGAAGGGGAGCAGGAGACAGCAGTGGCATGGGGGATGGCGCAGATGGGGGGAGCAGGTGGGGGAAGCGTGGTTTATGGGGCAGCGGGAAGACGGTGGGACGAGGAGGGACGAGTGGGGAGAGGGGAGGAGGCGGAGCGAGTGAGGGCGGGAGTGGAGGAGGTGGCGAGCATCATCGGGCGCATGTCGGCTGATGTGATGTCCGTGGATGCCGCCTCGTTGGCCTCACATGCCTCTTGGGCCTCTTCAGCCTCGTGGGTGCCTTCCACCCCGTCGCCCCCTTATGAGCGCAGCAGCGAGGGCGAGCGAGATCGGACGAAGGGGGGGGATTGGAGGGCAGGGGGGAAGAAAGGGAGGGATGAGAGGGGGAGAGAGGCAGGCAGAGGGCTGGGGAGAAAGGGGGCGAAGGTGGGTGGGAGGGATGGGTTGGGCGCACGGAGAGGGGGGATGAGGGCAGCAGCGGGTGGGAGAGAAGGTGGTGCAAAGGGCATTGCCAGTGCTGCCACTGCTGGCAGGGTTGCTGCTGCTGATGCTGGTACTGGTGCTGGAGCTGTCAGATATGCCGCCACTGCTGCTGGTGTGGCTGCTGCCAGTACTGCTGTTGCCACTCATGTCATTGCTGCTGCTACAGGCAGTGGGATGGGCGCACGGGTTGTAGCGGAACAGGTGGCAGTTGCGGTGGCGGGTACGGACGTGGGAGGGGGGGTGGGTGCAGGGGGGGGGTCAGCTAGTGTTGGGAGTGCGGGTGGGAGTGCGGGCAGCACAGGACAGCAGCCACTGGGAGCAGCAGCAGCAGCTGTGAATGGTTCGCAGGCATGGTCAGGGGAGGGTGTGCAAAACAGCACAGTGGGAGGTGGAGGCGTTGGGCAGCCAGTGCCAGTTGTGGACGTGTCAAGGAGTGCGCTCCCATATGCTCTGCCCTCGTTTGCACCCTCTGCTGCACCCAACACAGCACCTTGTGCACTCAATCCTCTTCCTGTCTCACCTTCCCCTGCTACTCCCACTCTTCACCCCGCACACACACATGCCCCACATGCCCCACATGCCACACATGCCACACATGCCCCACATGCCACACATGCCACACATGCCACACATGCCCCACATGCCACACATACCCCACATGCCCCATATGCCCCACATGCCCCGCATGCCCCATATGCCCCACATGCCCCACATGCCCCATATGCCCCACATGCCCCACATGCCCCATATGCCCCACATGCCCCACATGCCCCATATGCCCCACATGCCCCACATGCCCCATGTGCCCGTACCACACTTGCACCCATAAGCCCCGTGCTGGCAGCCCAGCAGGCACAACCCCCCATGCACCCCCCACACGCGTGGCAGCTGCCAGTGCCCCTGCACCCCACCACCACCCCTCACAGCAACACAAAGGGCCTTGCCAGGCCGCCACCTGTGCCCCTGCTGCAGCATGCGCAGGCAGGCAAGCGAGGCGGGGGGGAGGGCCAGGGGCGGGGCAGCAGGCATGCAGAGGCAGCCCACCCGTCACTCATGTTCCTCGCTCGCCGTGCTGCCACCGCCGCCCATGCCCCGTGAAGAGGAGTTTCTCCTGCTTGCATGGTGTAGGTGGTCAGTTGGCTCTGAACTTGCAGCACCACCCACCTGTGCAGCTGTACCTCCTACCCTCTGAGGGCGTATTCCTATCCTCCTATCAAGAAAACCTCCTATCAAGCTCTCACTGGAAAAATCCCTAAACCCCAAATCTCTCGCTACCGTACTTTTACCAGGCAAAAGGTACAATCTTGATAGGAGGTTTCTTGATAGGAGGCCGTAGGAATGCGCCCTGAGTCTACGCAGTGGCTTGCACGCAGCCCTGAGGTGTAGCTTGTTACACTCCATAGTGCAGCATGTGTGCCTGACCAGCTCTACAGTGGTGGCACTGTCCTAATGTGAAGGCTCCGGTAGAAATAGAGGGACTTCGCCCCATTAAAATGCCTGTTGAAAACGTCATGATAGGTGTGATTGTAGTGTAGCAAGGGTGCGTTCTACAGTCTTAATTCCGCAATCGAAACGGACTTGAACCAAACCCAGTAAAAAGTTCAGTTTGAACTTCTGAAGCACAACACATGCGGCTCTACAAAGGCTTCTCATTCTCAGACATCCCTAGGGCCAGTGCAATGGCTGGTACAAACTCTCTGCACTGGTCTTCATTGAGTGGAAGGGAGAAGGGCTTTGTTGGTTGGAACGGAGAGGAGATGTTGTTGATTGGAGAGGAGAAACCATCCAAGTTGAAGCATGTGCACATGACAACACAGCCAGTGGTGCCATGATGCCATTTCGAGCCATCCTACTGAGTGCACAGAATTGAACCAGGAACCTGCATGCCTCTGGTCAAAGGTAACAAAAGGAGGACAAAACGGATAGGATGACCCACAAGGTAACTCCTATGATTGGTGAAAAGCATGAAGAGGAGAAGCTGTGAAGTCGTGCAAGCGGGACACGATCAATCACTCACAATGCAAGCGGAACACGATCAATCACTCACAGTGCAAGCGGAACACGATCAATCACTCACAGCGGATCAATCACTCACAGCGGGTTTGGAACATATTCTCCAAGAAACGGGACTTGATCGCGTGAAGATGATGTGATATCAATTTCGCCTTCGCATTTATCTGCTTTGTAGTAAGCAACCTTGCGGCAAGCTGGAGCATCTCCAATGTTTTGAAGGCTATAGTATGATGTGACCGTGCGAGCCACAGCCACTGCAGCTGGGATCTCAGTGCACCCGTTGGGGTTGAGGCGGAAGGTCCAGGGTCGAGATGCCGCGTCCTTGGCTGTTTCATTCACAACGACTGTGTAGCTGAAGGAAGAGACGGTGGGAGCTCCACCTGGTAAAGAGGGGCACAAAGGAAACACTCAGCGAAGTGTTGTCACTCTTGCCTAAGGACTAAGCACAAAGGAAGAACGTATATACGTTTATGCATGCATCGCCACATTCCCACAAGCATCAGCAGTTCAGCCAACTTGGCAGAGCGAGAAAGGTGAAGCAAAGAGTGCGGTGAGTGTGAGAGGAGCGAGCGGGCCGGGTGAGGAGAGCATGCATGCTCACCCTGAACACAGCTCGTCGCGGTCATCCCATACCCGCTAGGGCACGAACAGTAAGGAAGGAGCTCGTTTGTGCTCGGCTTCAGGTAGGTTTTGCAGGTGGCTCCCACGGGGCACGAGCCACATGGTGAGGCTGAGGGTTGGGAATGGGTGCAGTGTGGTACGTGAGAGGGGATTGGCAAACAAGGGAGACGCAAGGCAGAGGAATAAGCAAGGCGGAGGGAGGAAGCAAGGCATAGGGGGAAGAGAGGCAGAGGGGGAAGCGAGGCAGAGGGGGGAAGAGAGGCAGAGGGGGAAGCGAGGCAGAGGGGGGAAGCGAGGCAGAGGGGGGACGCGAGGAAGAGTGGGGAAGCAAGGCAGAGGGGGAACGCGAGGCAGAGGGGGGAAGCGAGGCAGAGTGGGGAAGCAAGGCAGAGGGGGAACGCGAGGCAGAGGGGGGAAGCGAGGCAGAGGGGGGACGCGAGGCAGAGGGGGGACGCGAGGCAGAGGGGGGACGCGAGGCAGAGGGGATGAGGGAGAAGAGAAACAGAGCAAAGAGACGGTGGGATAAGCATGCATGGGGGGTGGGTGAGAGTGCAGCGCCGTGGGGATTGCAGGTAGAGGAGTGGAGTTCCAGAGAAGTGAGAGGGAGAGGAGGTAGGGCAGCAGAAAGACGATCATCGTGCACTCACCCCAGTTGCAGTAGCGCTCTCCATTTTTGTCCACCTCGCATTTGCCGCCAACAGGCTCACAGCCCAACGCCGCACAGGCAGGATCTGCAGCAGAGGCGAAGCGAAAGTGGCAAGAGACAAGAACATGGTAATCTGGAAGCCATACGGGCATCGGAACGAGAACTGTGCGCATGGCAGACGCAAGTCATACGGGCACGAAACGAGAAACTGTACTGAGATCCGCCGAAAGGGAGATTGCACTTGAGAAAAATGCAGCCTCATTCGCAGCCTTGAGAATCCCTCTCTTCAGAACCATGCCCACTCAACGTACCACTAGCCGTAATCTCCTGCGCAATCCTCGCATTGACCTTCCTGCTCGTTGTTTCTGCCACCATGCCTTCGCCGTTCGCGCCTTTCAGCGTGCTCCGCAGCATGCTACGGTGTGTCATCCGTTTCACCGTGTCGTCACCATTCGCTGCCTTCATCATCTGAACTGCTGCAGAGGACAAGGGAGAGGGTGTAAAGAGAAGAGAGAAAAAGAAGATATGAGAGAGCAGAGAGGGACGACAAAGGAGAGGACCGAGGTATATAAGAGGTCGAGAACAGCGAGCAGGAAGGAGGGATTACTCGGAAGAAAGGCACGGTTCTAAAGAGCTTACGCCGGATCAAGGCAAGGGCGGACCAGTAGCAATATATGTTGAATCAATGGGAGAAGGCAATGAGAAGCAGACTGACCGGCGATGAGGGCAACGGCGAGCAGCAGGAGTCCGGCAGGAGAGGCGCGCATCGACCCCATGATGATGATGACGACGAGGCTCCCGCGGGAGAGACGGCAGAAAGAGGCTGGGGAAGAGGCGAGAGAAGAGGCGCAACAGTGGAGCGTGTTGAGTTCAGCGGTAAGTTTAGGGTTGCAATCACCAAGCGAGACGATGGGTGGAATGAAGGACAGTCTAGTGCAAAAGGCGGAACGAATGAAATGCGCTGAGCTGGTGACTTATATCGCGAGTCACGAGCGCCAGCCAAGCATGGCAGCCGCCGCGCCATCTTAGCTCCGAGGTTCGGAGCGCGATTTATATAATGCATTATATGTGCCACATATAATGCATTGCTTGGCTCCAGTGCGTCATACTAGGGACCACTGAATTATACAGTGCGACATGCGACACTGGGCTTGGCTCTAGTGAGTTGCGACGGCGAAATCACCCGCGAAATGTTGGGAATGATATGTGTGCGACTGAAGAGTTTGGCGGGTCGCCCATGAGTCAGGTTTCATTGTCGGTGACGAAAAACGACGAATTGATGTTACAACGCGGTGCGTTTTCCCGTTCGTTGCTTCCTTCCTTCACGATAGTGCCAGGTTCAGCAAGGCCCAGTTTGGCTGGCCAATTCCCTGTGTTCATCCCAAGGTGACCAACAAGCTCCGGCTCGACCTTCGTCGCACAATAACGTCGCTGAACAAGTGAATGTACACGCGCCTTGACGAGATTGGGTGCTATTCGTCAGCGTTTGGTTTTTGTTCCGCGATTGGTTACAAATGGGAGACTTGTGCTTGGTTCAGCCTACCAGCCGAGGCTCTCTCCCAGAATTCCCACGAGAACCTCTGTGCGACGCGGACCAACCGACCGTGCGACAGAAGGAAGCTACCACCCTAGTCTCAAACACCGCATCGCATTGCTTCCAACCCTTCACAAAACATCCTCACCTCATCCTTTGAGCCCTTCGTCAAGCTCGCTCGATGAACCTTTTGGTGCCTGTCCGGCTAGCTTCCGCTAGGGCTAGTTGCTACTACCCGATGAGCTGAGTGGAAGGACTTGAAGCTACCGCATCGCCACCCCCACATTCCAGATTAGTCTCTAGCAGCCGCTCGCTTCATGGATGCGGCTGTGTCCGAACGCATACCGCACAGCACGCGCCGCATCCCGGCGATCAGACTCGAATAAAATATCGTGTACACCTGAACCTCCCGTCGCATGTCCGCCACGACCGCGTCGCGCATCCGCAAGCGTGCCCTCCCGGGGAGCGACCAGCGCGCCCGCCGGCTCGCCGCGTGCGGAGCCGAGCCCCGCTGCGAGAGCGCGCGCACAGCACGCGCAACCCCGCGATCAGAGTGAAATACCATTCGACCCCGTTCCAACCCCACCCCTCTCGCCATTTCCTGTTTCTGTAATAGTACTTCAAGACTTGTGTTCCCTCCCCTCCCGATTGCGACGGCGGCGATGGCGGGGAGCGAGGTGCATCAGGCGCTGCAGGCGGCGGCGCTGCCGCTGAGTTTCCTGGTGATGAGTTCGGTGCTGCCGGTGGTGAAGGTGCTGCTCATCGCCGCCACCGGGCTCATCTTCGCGTTGCCCTACTTCGACGTCCTGCACGCCGACGCGCGCAAGAGCCTCAGTAAGGTGCGCCCGTACGCTTGGGCAGGGTGCTGGGACGTTGAACTGTGCTAGGGTGCTGGGCAGGGCGCTGGGGCAAATCGATAAGGAAATGCGCTGCGTCAGGCACTGAGGCAGGGCGCTGGGGTAGGGCGGTGGAGCAGGGCTTTACAGCCGCTGGTCGCTGTCACCGTCGGCGGCCTCGTCCACGCGCCCGTTCTCGCCGCGCCCCCGTTCTCACCGCGCCGAGCGCAGAAGCGGAGGAAGACGCGCCGCAGGCGTAGAGCGCTGGGGGTGGGGCGTTGGGGTTGGAACGTTTGGGGTAGTAGGGCGTTTGGTTGGGAGGGGGAGAATAGGGCGCTGGGGATAGGCCATTGGGGGGTCGAGGAAATTAGGAATGGGGGGCAGTGGGATGAAGGAGAGGCGTTGAGGAAAAGAGGGGAGCAGAAAAAGGCATGGTGAAAATGAAAAGAGGGCGACGGAGGATGAGGGACGGAGGAGGGAGACAAGTTGTAATGCGGAAGCAAAGGTGAGGAGTGGGGGCGAGCGAGGCAGGCGGTATATTAGGAAGGGAGATAGGAGGAGGTGGTGGGGGAAAGGGGTGTGGAGTTGAGGCGGGAGGGATGTGGCGCGGAGAAGAAAGGGATGGAATGACAGAGTGGATCGCCATGGCAGAGGGGCAAAAGGTGGAGGAGAGAGAGGCGGGCACAGAGAGGGGCGGAGAAGGTGGTTGAGGGCAGCCCAGGGAGTATTGCTGGCCGTGCTGCGACTGTTTGTGAACCGGAGATGCGAAACGGCGTCTCCCCACACGCCCACACCTTGTCCATCTATGTGAGGAGAAGCATGCCCGCCTGCCTGCCTGCCTGCCTGCCCGCCTGCCTGCCTGCCTGCCTGCCTGCCTGCCCGCCTGCCTGCCTGCCTGCCTGCCTGCCTGCCTGCCTGCCTGCCTGCCTGCCTGCCTGCCTGCCTGCCTGCCTGCCCGCCTGCCTGCCTGCCTGCCTGCCTGCCTGCCTGCCTGCCTGCCTGCCTGCCTGCCTGCCTGCCTGCCTGCCTGCCTGCCTGCCTGCCTGCCTGCCTGCCTGCCTGCCTGCCTGCCTGCCTGCCTGCCTGCCTGCCTGCCTGCATGCTTGCCTGCATGCCTGCATGCCCGCCTGCATGCCTGCCTGCCTGCCTGCCTGCCTGCCTGCATGCCCGCCTGCATGCCTGCCTGCCTGCCTGCCTGCCTGCCTGCCTGCCTGCCTGCCTGCCTGCCTGCCTGCCTGCCTGCCTGCCTGTGCTTCCTGGCGTGCTTCACACTCCGCCACCATCCTCCTCTGTCCCCATTCGTGCCATCTAGTCATGCCGCCCATTCGTGTCACCCGTGGTGCTGTCTCCCCTTCCCCCCCACCCTCGTGGTGCTGTCTCCCCTTCCCCCCCACCCTCGTGGTGCTGTCTCCCCTTCCCCCCCACCCTCGTGGTGCTGTCTCCCCTTCCCCCCCACCCTCGTGGTGCTGTCTCCCCTTCCCCCCCACCCTCGTGGTGCTGTCTCCCCTTCCCCCCCACCCTCTTGGTGTTGTCTCCCCTTCCCCCCACCCTCGTGGTGCTGTCTCCCCTTCCCCCCCACCCTCGTGGTGCTGTCTCCCCTTCCCCCCCACCCTCTTGGTGTTGTCTCCCCTTCCCCCCCACCCTCGTGGTGCTGTCTCCCCTTCCCCCCCACCCTCTTGGTGTTGTCTCCCCTTCCCCCCCACCCTCTTGGTGTTGTCTCCCCTTCCCCCCCACCCTCGTGGTGCTGTCTCCCCTTCCCCCCACCCTCTTGGTGTTGTCTCCCCTTCCCCCCCACCCTCTTGGTGTTGTCTCCCCTTCCCCCCCACCCTCTTGGTGTTGTCTCCCCTTCCCCCCCACCCTCTTGGTGTTGTCTCCCCTTCCCCCCCACCCTCTTGGTGTTGTCTCCCCTTCCCCCCCACCCTCTTGGTGTTGTCTCCCCTTCCCCCCCACCCTCTTGGTGTTGTCTCCCCTTCCCCCCCACCCTCTTGGTGTTGTCTCCCCTTCCCCCCCACCCTCTTGGTGTTGTCTCCCCTTCCCCCCCACCCTCGTGGTGTTGTCTCCCCTTCCCCCCCACCCTCGTGGTGTTGTCTCCCCTTCCCCCCCACCCTCGTGGTGTTGTCTCCCCTTCCCCCCCACCCTCGTGGTGTTGTCTCCCTTCCTGGTGTTGTCTCCCCTTCCCCCCCACCCTCGTGGTGTTGTCTCCCCTTCCCCCCCACCCTCGTGGTGTTGTCTCCCCTTCCCCCCCACCCTCGTGGTGTTGTCTCCCTGCCCCCAGCTGGTCTTCACAGTGTTCCTGCCGGCCATCATCTTCGTCAACCTGGGCGAAGCCATCTCCTTTGAAAACCTCCTTAAATGGTAACCACCCTGCCTCAGATGGTAACCACGCTACCTCAGATGGTAACCACGCTATCTCAGATGGTAACCACACTACCTCAGATGGTAACCACGCTATCTCAGATGGTAACCACGCTGCTTCAGATGGTAACCACGCTACCTCGGATGGTAACCACGCTACCTCGGATGGTAACCACACTACCTCAGATGGTAACCACGCTACTTCAGATGGTAACCATGCTACCTCAGATGGTAACCACACTATCTCAGATGGTAACGACGCTGCCTCAGATGGTAACCACGCTGCCTCAGATGGTAACCACGCTATCTCAGATGGTAACCATGCTGCCTCAGATGGTAACCACGCTATCTCAGATGGTAACCACGCTGCTTCAGGTGGTAACCACGCTACCTCGGATGGTAACCACGCTGCCTCAGATTGTAACCACGCTACCTCAGATGGTAACCACGCTACCTCAGATGGTAACCACGCTACCTCAGATGGTAACCACACTACCTCAGATGGTAACCACGCTACCTCAGATGATAACCACGCTGTCTCAGATGGTAACCACGCTATATCAGATGGTAACCACGCTATATCAGATGGTAACCACGCTATATCAGATGGTAACCCCGCCCTCCCCCACCCTCCTATCCCTCTCTCTCCCCCGCAGGTGGTTCATCCCAGTGAACGTGGTTCTGGCGTCCGTGCTGGGCTGCCTGCTCGGCATGCTGGTGGCGTGGCTCACTGACTGCCCACCGGAGTTCTTCCGCCTCGTCTTCGTGCTCACAGGCATCGGTGGGTGCTCACAGGCATCGGTGGGTGCTCACAGGCATTGGTGGGTGCTCACATGCCCCCCTCCCATGCGCACCCATGCCCCCTCCCATGCCCAACCATGCCCCTTCCCATACCCACCCGCTTCCTCTCTCCCATACGCACCCGCTTCTTCTCATGCCAACCCGCCTCCTCCCTCCGATTCGCCCTCCCGTCCTCCCTAACCCCGTGCTTCTCACCCCCCCCAGTCAGCATGGGCAACATGTGACTCGCTGCTCCTCTTGCTCCCTTCTC